ATTAGGATGAATCTCGCAAAACAGACTCAGCATTGTTTTCCAAATCCATGCGCATTTTGCACCCCCACCCCCTCCCCCCCCCACTATCCATCGTCAAAATTCTGTAGCCTGAAAATGAAGCTTACTAAACTTACTGTGCCTTATGTTTATCTTTTTTAGGTCTTACATCTGTTGCAGCTCTCAGTTTTAGGCGACAAGAGGTCATTACAAAATACTGAATAAATGAACGAACATACGATAAAATAAATTAATGATCGAGAGAACGATTGAGTGGATGGATGCAACAGTGTAGGATAATTTCTAGACGCCAACATCGTGAGATATCTCTAGATATTTTGAATACGATTTTTGACGTCTCTAATTGCTAATTCTTAAGATGTGCTTCACGATAAAGTATTGCACTATTAGTGTTCATTTCCATTTGTTTCACCTTCTGCAGCAATTTACTTCGGTTCCGTCTGCTTACCTACCATCCCAAGCTTCGATCCAGAGCAAATACCAAGGCTTGCTATGGTTCCTTTGTCTTTAGAAGGGCAGAGTTGTTTTCCGTTGAAAACAAAAGTAGCTTTTTCCTTTTCCTGCGGGTTTCTGAACGAAGGAACTTCTTCCATGAGCTCCCTTAAATTCTTTTCCTTGTCTATTTTCAAGGAGATTGAGTCGCCACTCTGATACTCTACAGTTATGTAAATATAAATTGAGTCGCCACTCTGATACTCTACAGTTATGTAAATGTAAATTGAGTCGCCACTCCGATACTCTACAGTTATGTAAATGTAAATTGAGTCGCCACTCTGATACTCTACAGTTATGTAAACGTAAATTGTGTCGCCACTCTTATACTCTACAGTTATGTAAATGTACTCGGGGATTAGAACACTCACAGTCGGACGTGGACTGCAGATAAGTTTAACAGGAAGATGGTTACTTGGTGTAGCTGACAGGAGGTTTCTCTCATAGTACAGCTCTTGGTCCCTGACGGGGATTTGAAGCTCTCTTTCTATCTGTTGAGATCATAGACCATTGCCTTTCCGGGATGCACCTTTATTAGAAATGGCAAACTGGAAGATGGCTCGGTTGTTATTGTAATTGTTATTTCTAACTCTATTCGCCTCAAATTCCCCAGGTTTATCAAGTGTGCTCCTAATCCAAAAAAAGAAAAGAAATTGATTAATTCGCCTCCCAAAGTATCATCTTTTTTGGGTCTTCATATAGTTCTTACCTTATACGCGTATCGTTTGATAGCTGGACCTTGTCACCTAAAACAAGAACTTGGTAGGGGTCTTGCATAACTTCCATCAGGTGCTGCAATTCATGTTTCAAATAGTCGCCGATGGAGGCATGTTCACATTCATTGCTAAAGAAGAATCAGAGATGATCACAGGAATGTTAAGGTAAGCTTCAGGTGTGAACACGCACTTAACAAGACCATTTTCGGGTCGGCCAGATTCAATTCCTGCTTCTTTCGGTGCACTTTTTACTCGGTAGAAAGTGAACCTCTTGGCTTCAAAAACTGATCTTTCGATTGACATCTCCTCTCCTCCTCTGAGAGCCCATTTACCAACATCGTAACCATCAATAGTTATGTCCAAATGACAACCTGGAAAAAAGGCACAAACAGTCATTAATTCTATATAAAATCGAGGTCATCATCACAGAGTATCAAAAAATCAGAGTATCTTCAATGCAAAATGAAACGTTTGAGAAACGAAAGGAACTAAAAGAGCGGTAAGAAATTAACTTGATTAATTGTTAGACTTGTAGAACATCCATCGACCCTTAATTTTTGCGTCTGAGCTCCAAATAACTGTCTATTTTTGAAGTACAGTAAAGTTTTTCTCGTGAAACTGTTAATGTTAAGAGAAAATATATACCCATGTTATGATTTTATGGATGCAGACTGCTGCAGGTCTACGCTTCAGGGGTACGAGGTGACATTTATGTGAACCATAAAATGTGACAAAATCATAGTAATCCATTGAAATCACCCATTATGTTGCGACTGAAAAACAGTTTCCGAGCTCTCTTTCATCGAAATTTTGTATAGCGATAAGGTTAAAATTGTTTTTAAAATTGCTCTGTGTTTGCTTTTACCATATGCATGGGTATTTATGACGTGTATTTTCTACTGCGTCCCACTCTTCATTTCCACAAATTCTCCCTCAGGGGTCCTATAGTGTTTTCCTCTCAGGATTGCTGCTGAGTAGCCCTCATAAAACAGAAAGTTGACGTATCGAGCAGGTGCCGGTCCTACAGCTGAATCACCCTGGAGTTGAGCAGACGATCCAGGGGTGAATGCTTGAGAAGGTGCGGAGGAGGACCTCACTGATTCCGAAGAGGAGACTGGAATTTAAAGAATAAAACAGTTTTGAACGTACAGACAATGCCATGTTATGATAGAGCGCATTTTGATTGAGGGTGAGGAACACCAAAACTACAGTGATAACAACAGCCAATCAGAATAAAGGAAAACATCATAAATTGAGAACGCTAGCTGAAAAAGAGAAAACTGCCAAAAACGCGGGAAAACGCGAGAGATTTGGACGCTATAGTTTTAGTTTTGAATCCATGGGTTGAGAAAGTGGCGCGAAATTTCTTGACCAACCAAATCGAAGAGAAGCGAAACCAATGCAATCTCGGATCACTTTGAACACTTAGTTGATAACTGCTCTAACCTGCTGTTCACGAAGCATACAATTTAATTGTTAGTTCACTTGTTGTAAAGTATTTCTGATAATTTCCTTCCCATTTCAGGTTCTCAGCATTATTTGTAACAGTTAGTGAAGCATCACTCCTGACAGCAATAAGATGTTCAGTTGAAGGAACATCCGCATTACCACCTTTTAGGCTTGTTGAAGTGCTTCGAATTCCAGCATTCGCACTGCGCAGTAATGGCTGAACAACTTCAGATCGAAATGTCATAGCATGTTTGTCGGCTGCAGCTGTTGAGTTTGAAGAAAAAAAATTGTTTGCATAATTATGTAGTCAGTGTGATAGAGGGCTTAAGCAAGAACTACAGAGCCAATTTTCAACCCGGGGGGGCTTGAAAACGATGCCGAGGGCGTGGGTTTGTAAGGAGGGGTTGGTCTGGGGCCATCCTCCTTCCCCAAATTTTTTTATACTTCAAGTATAGTTTCTTCATACGTACCTCATCCATGAGCACTTAAACAAATTTAGGCCATTTCTGAGCTTTCGCGGTTCAAGAGATCTGGCGCCGAATTACTGCGCGAGAACGAGGCTAAGTGCAAAGAAAGAGGGTTAGAGCGAATTGCCGAGAGCTAATGCTCGAAACGTCAGCTTTTAAACCTTTACGGTGGTCAATTTACATTATCAAAACTTGGTTGATAAAACCAAATTACCTTGTTATCCCCACCGACGCAGCACCACAGTTTCTTTAGATACTTACCCCTAGTTTCAAACCATGTCTGGTTGTCTACCTGGTTGCCTTGTGAACTTTAATATATCTTAAGTGAGGGTAAGTTGCTGGACCCTAAACTTTTGAATACTTAGACTTACAGCTTCTCTAGCATTCCAGATTTCTCATCCGCCGTCCCTGTTAAGTTACTGGACATTTCGAAACCCACGTGATTCCTGTTTTCCTGATTTAGGACAGGAATAGAACTGTTGGGGAGGGGGAGGAAATTTTAGTTAAAACCCGCACAGATTGCGAAATTTAACATTCTGCACCGGAAAAGATAGTGAAAAACTTAAATTATTTCCTCGTTATGGAGCAATGCTCAGATTGAACAAGTTCATTAAGTTGATTTGTATCTGTACCTGTTCGCGCACCAGTGTAAGGAAGATCACTTTCTTTTTGTTCCGGATCGCTACCGTGCCCTACCCCGTCAGTTACAATATCATCTTGCCTATCTGGTTAAAAAAAATCCATAACAAACACATAATAATTTCCTGTATCTAAATAACTTTTGGGAATCAGTTATCTTAGCCCACTTTGCCGAGATTCCAGGGCTCATTTATACCAAAAACCCCAGCTTTGTTATTAAAAAAGGGAGGAATACTAACCCTCTCAAAGGTAAAGCATTGTAAGATGTTTACGTTGACGTGATATTGATAGAGTAATCAAAATTCCGCGTTCTCGAACTCAGATCAAACTTTTAAGTATTAAAATACTTTTGCGCGAGAAGGAACCTTTTTTCTATTTAGATAGTACTGTTGTATGTAAATACTAAAAGTATCAAGTAAAGCAATTCGAGTGAGAATCTACATTTTCTTCAATTTATTTATTGTTTTTTTTTCTATCAAACTCGGATCTAAAGACTTAGGTTTGCGACCGATACGACAATGACTGGGCATTATTATCCAGCATTATAATTTTACGCGTAAAGGATAAATTTTGGTATACAGACGTTACTCGTGTATCTAATCAAGTAGAGCAATTCGAGAAAGTTTCCCAATCAGTATCATCATATAATTTGGTTGTCTCTTTTTTTTTCTTCAACAAACTCGGATCTTTAACTAAACTGGAGTTTTCCACCAATACAACAATGATCAGGTAATATTTCTCTCCATCAGTTTAAAACATTTTTCAAAGAATTACCGTCAGTTTCATGGGTTCTGTGGAGTTTACGTGGAAAAAACTGAATCCTCCGCGCAAGATCCATTCTGCCGATTGCTTGAAACCCATCATGTAGCAGGGCCAGATCCTGTGGACCAATGTGTACATCCTCTTCGAGTGCTTCAAATAACTTCAGCCCACTATCTATATTTTCTGTTACTATTCGGGGAAGACGATCCCCCACAGCAAACATCAACCTTTCCAGATCTTTCCTAGACAGTTCCATCGACATATCTATAAGTAGTCTTCTATACGGACTTATACAATTTTCATATTGCATGGAGGCCATCTTCAACTTGTTGTGAGATGTTGAAGCGTTGAAGGCGGAACTCAGACGGAAGCAAATGTAACTAAACTACTTCCGCTTTTACCCAGTTTTTCCTCTGTCTGTGAACGCACGAGATCTGGAGGCGAAAATGATAGAAAATGGCGGCCCGAACAAGTCCCATTGATGAGTTCTTTAAAGAGGAAATGGCTTTGGCTTTTCAAGGTTGATGGCCAAATTACAAAGTATTCAGGGAACCTGATTCTAATATCTCAATGATAAGACAGTTTCTTCTCAGGGAAGTAACCCAGTCATGGCGAACTTAGGATTTGACGACTCTCCATCAGATCAACTAGAGGGAATACAAGTTCATTCTGTTGTCGGTGGCTTGATCTTAAAAGGAAACAGCATCAAAGCGTCTCAATCCCCGAAGCAAAGCGTATTAGGACTACAAAAGCTCGCTGAGGATAAGAGGAAGCGAAAATTAGAGGAGGATGGCGAGAAGACGAAGAAGATCAAAGCTCTTGCCTCAAATCGTGACGAGGATTGGGAAGAACCGCAATTCTCGGGAGAAGCGCGAATAAGTTCTGGAAATAAAGGTTTTAAGTCGAAATCACGACATTATAGATCTGGGTTGGCCGAAACTCCCTCACACACTGGAGGTGTTAATGAAGATATAAGAGAAAAACAGCTCCAGAGACTCGAAAGAGATCGTGACTCCAGAAAAGGAGGTTTGTATGCTCAATCAAAGGCAAAGGACAGAGAAAAAGATTATAGAAAAGACAGAAGAGATAAAAACGATGAAAGAGATAGAAGAAGGTATGAAAAAAGAGAGAAAAGTAGTCGAAGTTCTCGAGAGTACCAGAGAGATGGCGGGGAAAGTTATTTTAAAGAGCCAAGATCGAGCCGCAGTAACTGGGAAGAGACGCCATACAGAAGCAGTAGGTCAAGAGATGAAGGTTATACTCCGCGACATAAATCTAAGGGTAAGGTATCTTATGGAAGCTAATTTCATATCTTTGTTTTAAAGGGTTTTGTCTGAAACTCAGCCACATCCTAAACAGGCCTTCTGGCTTTATTCAAATTTGGGCTAAACTTCAGAATACCCGGTCACTCATTTACATGTCGTTAAATAAGAATAGCGTCTGTTGTGTTAAGCCACGAGCATTCTTCAAAGCCTCCTGACATATGTAAATGAGGTGGAAGGGTATTCTGAAGTTGCTCCCAAATTTTCCCTTGTAACCCATATCATTAAATATGAAATGTATAATTTTTCCATCATAAAATAATCTGCCAGTCACATATTTAAACCTTTTGAAACTTAGTCAGATGGTAACTCTTTTGGTCATACAATAACTACCTCACACAAAAGTATTTCTCTTTAAAATCCATGGTACACAATTAGTATACAAGTAAATGAATGCCCTAGCTGAGAACGAATAACATTTTATATTCTCTGCATGATATTCCCCAATTTTAAAAACGTCAGATCCAATATGATAAAAACCCTTGGTTTTAAGTAACCTGAAGGTGATAGAGCATTTAACCCTTTTCATGTCAAAAAAGCTGTGACTTTGCAAGTAATTTCTCCTGCCAAACTATTTGACTTGTAATAAGCTCAAAAGCATCCATTTAGTTTGGAAAAATATTCTTGTATTTGTCCTTAGGAGTTACTTGTTCCTAGAAGCTCTCGATTTTTTTGCAAAATTTGTTCCCAGAAAACTATCGCTTCTAAGATTAGACAATGTATGTGGTCAAATTCATCAATGTATTATTTTTCTCTCTAAGTATAAGGTATTGTTTATGTATTTCAGTACACAAAAAAGTGTATTGAAGTGATGTCACATTATATGGTATCTTCATGGTTAGCTCTGATGTTTTGCGTTCTGTGTAGGACCTCTGGTTTTCAGCATGAATTCATCTAGTAATAACAGAATTATGCTTGCAAAAGTTTTATTTTTTTCATACATGTATTTATGTCTGTGACAGATATAAGAACACCTTCAAGGAGCAGTTGGGATGATGAAGATGCTACACCCAGCAGAGCCAAATGGGAAATGCCATCTCCCAGCAGATCAGTTTATGAAGACATGAAAAGTGAACGAAGGTAATGAAAACTGTGAAGTGTTCCATCAATAAATTATAACATGATTGGTCTTCATCCCCTAATTTGTGTGCTTATAAGACCACACAGATAGGTTATCATTGAGGAATCAGGTGTCCATCACAGTTTGCTGGTTTCTTATATACCCATTTTCATGAAGGAATGCTCTGTGAGAGTGACATTTCTTGCTTGAGGGCCCAACACAGAGGATCAGTTAGGGCTAATTACATGCTGTTTTATCATGTGCAGAGGGGAAGAGGCATTAAGATAGTTTATTGTTCTCCCAGCTGCTGGTGGGGTTTGACATTTTACATGTTGGTTCCCTTATATCCTTGTATCTCGGGCTGTATGCTGCCATTACCTGTAGTTCTGTTAGAATTACTTTGTAAGGAACACTTATAGATATATTTAAATTGATGGATTCAATCTGCAATTTCCTAACAATTAAAGTAGAATGGAATAATTTGCTGTTCAACAGATCTCATCGAAGAGTAGATGACACTCCTCGCTTCACCCCTACACACAAGTACAATGTTTGGGAAGATGATCGCCGTAGCACTGGAGCTACTCCAAGATTCTCCAAAGGAAAACGTGAGACAAATTTTATAATATAACAATGTTACTGCAAAGAGTATTTGTGGAATAAAGTAAAATAAATTCATCTAGAAGCATTAATTAAGAGTTTTTCATCTCATTTGTGAATGTCTTGGCAGACTAATCTGTCTTTAAATTAAAAATATACTTTTTATTACCCACACAAACTTAAATTCTGGTAAAATCAACCAGTTCTTGTGATAGAATAGTTCTAAATGAATGTGGCAGGTACTTGTTTTTATCAAGTCTTTGGTCAAGATGTTATCTCCTTGACATAGGTTTACTAATGTTGTAAAGCAGTTCCAAATGATATTAACTGATACAAATTATTGGTTGACTGGTGCACAACAATGAAACATGCAGGTTCTGAAGAAGACAAGGAATCGCGATATCCTTCTGAAGTTGACAAAGAGGAATGGGAAGAGGAACAAAAGGTGATTAATGTGCCATGAGTGCAGAAAAACCGTTTCACTCTTAAGATCTCATTAGGTATTCTCCTTAGTGTCTGCCATACAATTCTTATGACACAAGTTTGGAGAGTTTAGTATTGGATCAACTGATAATCCCCTTGATTCTCATCATTTGTCTGCTTGACATTGTATTGATATTGTGGGGAGGAGCTACTGTCTTGGTCACTGATGGGAGTAAACGGGTTAGTAAGATCATAGCTTGCAGTGCTGTTGTTGTATTAGGCCAATTTGATTTTTACAATCTTGTGATTTGTTATTTGACTGGCCACACTTGATGTATAGTTAGAGTGAATAGAGGGGGGAGAGGGTAGGGTAAGGTGAGAGGATGTTGCCCTACCCCCTCCCCTCTCCTTCCTTTTGATTTTCCCTCACCTCCCCAGGCACAAACTTCTTTCTCTCCCCATCTTTCTGCTGTAGTAAAAATCAAAGATGGCAGCTATAATTTTCAAAGGCAGGTTATTGGCAGAAAATTTCAAAGAGTTGCTTATACACTTGGTTAGATGAAAAAAGAATACGATAACAAGTGAATTACTGTACATTATTTGATAGAGGCTGGACCGAGCTTGGTATGATATGGACTCCGGTTATGATGAAACACACAACCCATTTGCAGATGTCAGTGATGAATACACCAAGAAGAAAGAAGAAAACATGGCCAAGAAAGCAGTTAAGAAGATGTCCGCACAACAGAGGCAAATAAACAAGGTAAACAAAGGAAAAGTTCACTACGCACTCATGCTTAGATAACGTTACTGTCTACATTAAACATTCTTTTATACATACAGTGTGACAAGCAGAGGAAATCCAAAAGTGTTTATACCATACTAAGTAGTCTACATTTTTTTTTAGCTTTTGTGCAATACGTAGTGAGTAGCATCAGCCTTCTAAGGCTACAAAAGTCGTTGGTATAAAATGAAAGCTACGATGTAGTAGTATACTGGGAAAAGGGAAAGGGACTCAGAAGTTAGGTGTAGCATCTCAATAATGGAACGTTAAACGAAATAAAATATTTTGATATCACGAAGATTATGATCAGTTAGCGAACAGCGAAACCAGAGGGATATTCGCCGAGTGATATAAGTGATTTCCGCCGATATGAATAAAATCGTGTGAAACTTACATCATATAAACGCTAAGAAATCGAAGTATTTTGCGAAATTAAATGCGCTTACAAATACAGCGAAGTTTACCCAAACAGAGTTTTGCGTCCGCCATTCCTCAGAGAATTTGTAGTTTACGACTCTTCGATACCACTTCCTAAAATGAAATGGCTTTGAATGAAAGGCTGTATGTTTTGTATACGATCTTTTACCTACCATCTGAATTTGTCTAATGATATCTTAATCAAAACCAATCTTATTCAGGATAATGACCTCTGGGAGACCAACAGGATGTTGACAAGTGGTGTGGTGCAGAAGTTGGATGTTGATGAAGACTTTGAAGACGATCAAGAAGCCAAAGTTCACTTGTTGGTGCATAACATAGTGCCGCCCTTTCTTGATGGACGCATTGTCTTCACAAAGCAACCGGAACCAGTCATTCCAGTCAAGGTGTTTTACTGTAACGGTCATAAGTATATCTCAGTTAGCACGTGCGCTATGATTAGTCAATTTAGCGGGCCGTATAAGAGGCTCTTCTTACAGAGAAAAACGTGCACTTGATTTAATATGAATAGTGATACATTTTTTTTTTTGCCTTAACATGAAGGGATACGTCGTAAATCCTTACAGGCACCTACTGGCTTTTAAATTACGTCAAGGTGAACTATTAACAACTTAAAATCCTTCCAAATTTTTGCAGGATTCCACATCAGACATGGCTATGATTTCAAGAAAAGGTTGTCATGTTGTACGGGTTCACCGAGAACAGAAAGAACGTCAGAAGTCGCAACACAAACACTGGGAACTGGCGGGGACAAAACTTGGCAACATTCTGGGTGTTAAACAGGAGGAAGAAGTATGTTGGAATTTGCATTTTGACTTTGTTTGAAAACCTATTTGTGAGCAATTTATTCTTAAAAAAAAACAACAACAACAACGACAACTACCAAAACGAGCAAAAAAATTGGCTCTGTTGTGCGGCGTGTGCATAAAGTAGGTGTCGTACTCTTTCACGCTCTTTGAAATTTCAGAGCGGATTTGTTCGTTTGTTTACTTCGCAGTTCTTCCATACTACGACAAATACTCACAATTTATTGCGACTATTTACAAGGGTTACGAGGTTAGCAACGTAAAAGTAACTTATTTTCTCTGTCTTCAAGGATACAAAACAAGACGAGGAAGAAGATTACAAAGATAATCAGAAGTTTGCTGAACATATGAAGGACAAAAATGAAGCCAGCAGTGAGTTTGCTGCGAAGAAGTCAATCAAGGAACAAAGACAGTATTTGCCCATATTTGCGATTCGAGAAGAGGTACTAAGTTAAGCTGTGAAACTTCACTGTTTTCTCGAAACGATATGTACTGTTTTTTAACTAAACTTTGTACGTTTGAGCAGAAATTTGGAGCAGTCGTATTTGTTTTATTTTCAATAGACCCGTACGGCACTGGGCGCGGTTTTATTGAAAAATATTATTAATCAACGAAAATCCCATACAAAGGCTGTACAACCCAGCCGTCTTCCTCGCAAAATTTATGGTAGTAAAAACGTAAGAACAAAGAGAGAGGGAGATAAATTCGCACTCATGTGATAAAATTTTTACCTTTTGTGGGTCAAGACGTACTGACCAAGCGCCATCTCGCCCCCTCCCGCTTCGCCATTAAGTACATCATGTGTAGGTTTCACGTTGTGCGTGTGAATTGGTGATTTTACTGCGGTGTATAATCACTGTAACTGTTCTTTGCAGCTTCTGAACATCGTGAGAGACAATCAGGTTGTTATTGTGGTTGGTGAAACAGGCTCTGGAAAAA